AGCTTTAGGGTCTCATTAGTTCTTAGATGTGGCAAAGAAGCAAACCTGAAAAGCGGAGGAAAAAAAGCTCTTTCATTAGAGCGGTCAGTGATTATAAAAAATGGTTCCTTTAATTTTCTAAACTACAACCAAACAAAAAACAACCATTAGAAATGTGCATCTGATTCTCAATCAATCAAACCTGATTTCAGACCAATTTTCATTTAAACGAGGACAACAGGAACTAATTTACTGAATTAAAACACATGGCAAGACAAATAAAATCAACTCAGATTAGTAAGACCAATTAACTACTAAGTAACTACACAGAAAGAGAGCTTGGTGTCAAAACCTAAAGTAATGGTTAAATACAAAATTAAATGAGCTAGAGATTATATAGTGAAGCTCAAAGCCATTCTTAATATGAATTATACTGTGTTTACTGTGAAAAACATCACCCAGCTGCCTTTAGGTCTTTGAAAGAGCTATTCCAGAGTTTTACAGGAAATTGAAACTCTTAATGTGTATTTCAGTTCTGACTTTAGGTTTCAATATAAAACCCTTCTACAAGGCCAGATGAGTCTGAGGGTTATGTAGAAAAATGGAGGTGAAATATAATGGGCTGAGGTTTTTAAAATATTTGAAAGCCATTAAGTTTAGTTAAAAATTAATCCTATTTTAAAAAGACATTAAGGTGTTTTATAAAGATACTGCCTCCTGTGGTCAAAACATAGAACTGCAGCGCTCTTCTGCTTGTTCTTGTAGCTCCGACCCATACTTGACAAGGTTTTATTTTATGTCACATCCACAGAGCAGCGTGGGAACTTATGACCAGAAGTAAATTAACGAAAATAGGCTTAGCTATATAATAACTGACTTAACGTCTCTTTAAGAAGCAATAATTCCACTTAAGATCGGAGGGGGTTCTCTGAAAAAGCTTATTGGGAGTTTGAATCAAATTCCACACCTGGATTTAATGTCTGATTTTTAGTGATCATTATATATGTTTGTAATGAATGAAACATCCACTCACCACCCATTAAATATTTGTTTGAAACATTTATAAAGAGTTTACAATTTAGTCTTCATCACATTTTTTGTTACTTGCATAGAGGTACTTCATTATCTTCATAGCTTAAATTTAAATGCCAGATTTCATGACATTGTTGCCCAGCAGCATGCAGGACCCAAATATTATCCTTGCAGTACGCCACAGTCCAAGCTATAAACCTTGGATAAACGGCTTCCTTAATTTTTTGAAATTTAATTCTGTGAGAAAATAGTAGAGCTTGTTGAGAAAAGTTCCAGCAGTTCCAGTTAATCTGTTCAACATCTTCCACATCAAGGCCTTTTGCACCATGTCTCTCCTACACTGTTTACATTTTAATCACTTCTGCAACTTTATAAATGGAAATGTTCATTTCACCGATAAGCTGCTGCTCATTTACTGTCGGAAAGCTGAATGTATAGAAATTTCGTTTTGTATACACTCTGGGCCGGATCTATCAAAGGTTTGCGTGTATAAAAACGTGAGCTATTTCACTGCGCACGCTAAAAAATGTACAAACTGATCTATCAACAGCGTGCTAAAAGGATTTGGTCTTTAAAACGTGCTAAATAGCGCCTCTTATCCATTTAGTACTTTTTCTGCAATGAATATGCAATATGGGGCGTTTACACGCAAAAGTGCGTCTTGTGGGAGGAGAACATGTAAATATATTAATTTAGCACTCGCAAAGTGATTTATCAAACCTGAAAGCAATTTTGATAACGGTATTTGACTCTATATTTAACACGTTTCCAAAGAAGGTGCAAATGGTCTGTATGCATAATTGCGCACACATGGCAGCGGTTATTGTGGCAAGAAGGAGACATCGAAATGAAGCAAGGAGACGCAGAGAACGCATTTTTTCACTCCGTGTGAATATTTTTGGAATGAAGGAGGAAACGATCATCAAAACATATCGTTTATCCAGCATTGACATTTTGGAGCTGCAATTCCAGTGATTTGCTCCTCACAGAGCGTCAGCTGTAGGCCTACTTGTTCCTCAATGCTGGTCAGAGGCATCTTATCTACTGTGCCCCCTCCTGTTTTGTTCGCAGATGTTTTGTTATATGCCAGTTTTTCTTTGGTTCGCCTTCTAATATCCTGGTATCTTCTTTTAACTTCATCCACTGTTCGCAAGGTTTCACCGACAGCGTTTACTTTATTACAGATTTGTTCACATATAGCGTTCCTCTGTGTGACAGTCACACTTCTTTGCTGTAGCTCCCTTAAAGGTACACTATGCAACCGGTGTTGATTTTCCAGCGAGGCTCCCCCCAGAGGGCGAAAGTAAAAGTGCACTGTCGTAAATATGCACAGCTGTTCTCCTGGTTTCTCCGTCAAGCCAGGCGCGGTTGTTTTGAGCTTAGCAGCGAATGACTAATGCTGCGTTCACACTGGACGTAGCTGGCGCGACAGAAGCAGCGAGTTTACATGCAAAGTCAATGGTTGACGCGCGTCAAGGCGCAGCAAAAGGTCCCGCGGCGCGTTTTGAGCAACAGGCGCAGCACGTCTGAGCAGCTGAAGCAGCGCTCCGGGCGTCGGGCTAAGCATCTGACGCAGGGAGAGAGACACAGCGCTGATGATCAATCCTCTTTTATTGACGCCTAAATTAACTTAAAATGCAGAAATCTGCCGGCAGAATATGCAGTTGGATTATTTAGATGAAAAACACCTACCAGCTGCCGTGGTGAATCGCGAGGAGGCAACCCGGCCAGAGGCTGCTGATGAAGGGATCCCTACTTTCGGCGCATCCCTGGTATGTGGGGGTCTGAGCGGCTCCGACAGAAAAAATATTGAAGGCAGGATAATAATCTGAATGAACTGACTGCACTGATTACGTTTTCAGGTGTATTTTCTCACTTAAACACATATTAAAACTACTTTATTCCCACTGATCACAGCAAATATAGCTGCAAGGCAGAGAAAGGAAGCTCCGCCCAACGCGCGTCAGACACACTTTTGCACCGCGCAGCCAGAGCAGCAAAGCTGTTTCAGCCGCGTCAGAACTAACTGGTACAAGCAGCAAAAATGAAGCAGCAGACGCGATTTTGCTGCTTTTGCTGCGTGAACGTAGCATAACTGCACAAAGATCGCCACTGTGCTAGCAACGAGCATGCTTTTAACTGGGGGCTTGTAGCAGTTCTCGCCGTAAAGCAAGACTGACTCTCGCGAGACTTCTGAGCCTGTGGGTGCGGGTCGGTGCTCCTGCAGTTGCAAGTGCAGTATTTCCCCCACAGACCACCAGGGCGGCCGAGAATACCTTTGTTCAACCTGAAATGACTCATTTAATCATCCATAACGTTATGGAACACATTAATTAACTGAAAAATGTTGCATAGTGTGCCTTTAAATGTTTGTTGGCTTCATCCATCAACACCTCCATTTCCATGGGTCGAATTTCCTTTTGCGCTTTCTGCTGTCCAAACTCGCCATGCCGCAAACCACAAAACGTGCAAAACCATCATTTAAATAGGGTGTCTCCAACAGTTTTGCACCTGCCACCAGTTACGCAATCGCTCTTGTTAAATCACCCGCAAAGCATGGTTCAGCCCCTCACGCAAAATTCCAGTTTGCGAGCGCAAATTACTGCACGCAAAATTGGATCTTGATAAATCCGGCCCTCTGTGTATAAAATGACAATAAGGTTTGTCTACGTCAACAGTGATAGAATCAGCCTTATAAAATTTGAATTTTTAAATGAAAGAATTCCTTTATTCTACTCGATCAAAGTCAGATTGATACTATTTTTGGTTTCTCAATTGGCCTCTGGAACTACTGATGGAAACATTAGGCTTGGATAAGTTTACTAAACCATCTCTTTCACTATTAGAGTTTTTTTTGTAATGTAACAAACTCCAGTAACAAAGATGTATGTTAGACAGCCTAAACACTTCACTTTATGTCATTGGTGATTATGCATTATTTTTGTAAACCACAGTATACTCAGGTTTTCACAGCTTAATGAGGCTTGTTTTTGCCAAAACTTTTCATATTAAGTCTTTTTACAGAACATTAACTGTTCTAGTCACAACACAAAAAAAGTCCTATAAAAGCTGTCTGTGGTTGAAGAAGTATCTTTTGGTTCTTTCTCCCTGTCAGACAACCAAAACAATGAAATGGTTGCCTCAGACTTGACCAACAACTGACTGGAAATATAGTTTAAAGCTCATTTAAATCCCAAGTTTTGACTAAGACAACTGAGTTCACAAAGCAATAAAATGTAATCTGATTTAAACCATGGTGCTGCCAGGTAAATTTCCCACTGGAGAATAGCCCAGTTGCCTTTTAATATAGATATATTGACTTTATAGATAAAACCCTGTAGACTAAAACTCTTATTTTGTTGTGTTTTTTTTTTTTTTGTTCTGTTTTCTTGTAAAGCCTTATAGCACGGTATTTCTTTATAAAAGATTCCAGATTATTTTCTGTTTAGTTTCAACATATTTTTTCCTCTGGTTTGCACTAAAAACATGTAGGTTGCTTTAACTGCAAGATTACATTGTGAACTGCCACTTCTATGACCTTCAGTTGAGAGTTAACATTGATGACCACATGACGTGCTTTATCTTTCTATTTAAATTATTTCTGCTCTTAGAGCAACAAGGACAGATCATTTGGTTTTCTTGCACTCTAGAAAAGCTTTCAAATCAAAATATTTTTTCTTTCAACAGGCCAGTAAAGGTTGAAACAAAGAAATGACAAGGATCAATCAAGTCAGCTCATCATAGAACTGTAGTCTACCGCAAAGATAGCTTTTGTTGGCTTCTTTTGTCATGTTTTTTCCTAGTCCATGAAAATATCCCAAAAGGGTTTGTGTAAACAGCATGAAGGTGATCTCTTTTTGCTTTAGAAGAAGAAAATCGTTATAAACATCCCGTTTTTCACTGAGGTTAGCCGGATCATCTTCCCTTTGCATTCAGAACAATACAGCATCATTTTTCATGTGTCTGTTCTGTTTGTGTGTGTCTGACAGGTGCCAAGGAGATTGATATTGCAGCCACTCTGGAGCACCTGCGGGACCAGAGGCCAGGAATGGTCCAAACCAAGGTAACACACCTGAGTCCAGAATGTTTGCTCATGTTGAAATAATCTAATTAGTTCCACGTCTTTAAAAAAGCAGCCCGACCCCTGACTTTATATGTTTATGGTCTGATGAGGTCATTTATTGCTCATTTACACATGGGCCAACAAGTTCTTCATGTGCATTGGTCGGATCAACATAGAAGGCAAAAACGGATGTGGTGATTATAGATGGCTCATAAAGTGCAGGATTTAGTCTTACAATTTTAATGAACAATTATATGCAATGAAGACATATCCATGCGTAGATGTATAAAAACGTTAAAAGTTCCTTTTAATTTTTTATTTTATTCAATGTCTTCCTTGCAAGCATTATAGAAATCTTTATATTGAAGTTACATTAAGGTAATTCCAATAGTAGTGGTACTAAATTATCTGTCTTAGTTGTTTTTTTTGTCATGTTTGCATAGACAACTATGAATAGTTTAAAGGAAAATTCCGGTTTTTAACACTTTTAGCCCCTTTTCTGTATTGTCCAGGATGAAATCGAATGATCGACACCAAAATTTTGACGATTGGTCCTGTCTCGGCTATTTGGCTCATGTAGAATCCCCCCTGGCTGCTTCAGAATGGCTTGCATAGTGCATGTCAGATAATGTCCTTAAAACAACCTTAAACGTTCTTTTTTTTTAAATATGCTACCCACCGGGTCGTCAGCGCTGTTCAATGACGTTCCAAAAAAGGTTTTGTGAAGAAAAACCGTTCCTGTCTTGTTTTATTTAGAATTTTGTAAATCCCAGAACTATTTTTTCCGATACATCACAACCGCTTATAAACTTCCGCTTCCCGTTCGAATCTGAAGCGTTGTACATTCCAGACCACTAGTTGGCGACAATGTCTCTATACTTTGGGAATGTAGGACCACTGTGTAGGACATAGCAAACAAATTTTCAGAGTTTTTTAAAGTGTTTTACAGAGACGTTAGCACCTCCACGTCGGAGTACACAGAGTGAAGCAGAAACACTTGGGCCTTGCGAAAGGACTACAACTAAGCGTAAACAGGCCCCCTTTCCGTTTCCGGTGGCGGAGGGATATTAACTATTCCAACAGAACTCGATGGGATTTACAAAATGCTAAATAAAACACTACAGGAACGTTTTTTCTTCACGAAACTTTTTTTGGAACGTCATTGAACAGCGCTGACGACCCGGTGAGTAGCATATTTTAAAAAAAGAACTTTTAAGGTTGTTTTAAGGACATTATCGGACATGCACTATGCAAGCCATTCTGAAGCAGCCAGGGGGGATTCTGCATGAGCCAAATAGCCCAGACAGGACCAATCGTCAAAATTTTGGTGTCGATCATTCGATTTCATCCTGGACACTACAGAAAATGGGCTAAAAGTGTTAAAAACCGGAATTCTCCTTTAACTAAACTGAAGAAGTCAGGTCCTGAAAAACAATGCAAAGTTTTTCCGTGTACTCAGCGCTCTTTGGTCAAAATGCAAGAAATATTTTTTTTGCATTTCTACTGTTTGTGTACACGAAAATGGGAGGAAATAAAAAACTTGTTCAAGGATTCAAAAACATCCCAGTGTTTCCAGTGTGCAAAGGAAAATTGTGCGTGTCTTCATGTGCTTATGAGAATGCATTGGGCACATGCACAGAATCGCAATCAGTAGAAAGTAATGCATTAAGCCACTGAAGCAAAAGCAGATATGTCTATACTAACATTTCATTCCCTGCTATTCCTTTTATTTTATTTAGTAGCAGTGCCATCATAATCAGGGAGGGTTTGTAGTGAATTTGTTTTCCTCCTGTGTCCGACTCCCTGTCTGGATCATAATTTTTTTAGAATTGAATGCCGTTTTCTTAATCAACTGCCAAAAATGAACTCTACCTTTATCTCTTCTGGAAGCAGCAGTAGAGCTCTGTGTCACGCTCCAAAAACAAAGTTCTGGTCTGATTTACCAAGTGACTAGAAGGGCTTCTTTTTGCAACTAAGAGAAGAACCGACAGGTGACAGTCTGTGGAACCTGGGGTTTTATGTTCTTTCTTTAAAGAAGATTGACAGAGTCCTCTTCTGCTTGTTCTTATAGCTCGCCCTGGTACTTGATTTTATTTTATTATTTTTTTTCACCTTATGTGAAGTAGCCATTAGTCTCTAAGTCTCTAACACTGGACACACTTGACACTGACGTCACATGCACAGAAAAATTGCGGGTAATTCTGACTTAACGTACATTTAGGAGGTCTCAGTCCGCTCATCATAAGATGTTTTAGCTGTAAACAGTAATGAAAGATGTATTATAAAGCAGTAAAATTATATGAAATGTCTCTTTAATGAACCAGAATAAAATGGCTCAGTTCCCTAATAAGCATTTCTATTTAGTGTTGCATTGGTCTGGTATGGAGCCATTCATATGTTCAGGTGTGTTGAAGGAGGGACGAATCTAATAGTTGCCTAATAGTAGCTCTCCAAGGTTGGATTCATGCACTCTTCGACTAAAACAATCGCATTTGAGAAGAAAATAATTCAGATCATCACATGATTATTGATCATCACTGTGCAAATGCAGAGTAAGGACAACTTCTGTCAGGAAGGTCGCATTTTGCCCGAACTTTAAAGCTTTCTTGATATAGCAGATATCAGACTGATCAACAATTACATTTTTATTTTTTTTTATTTTTTACAAACTAACATGAAAGAGCACCTGCAGATGACCCACTTCCTCGGTGTTGATGATCTTATAATTTTTCCTAAAGAAACTCATTCCTCAGCACGTTGTACAGAGTGACTCCAGGCTGCTGTGAAAACAATTACAGGCTGTTATGAGAACATAATTAGAAAGAAAGTCCAGACTGTGTATAAAACATCAGCTGTATTGATCTTAGCTTTTATTAAAGCCTGTGGCCTGAAGAGGTGTGTCACCACTGTTCCTTGTGAACCAATTACCCTCATACTCAAGAGCCCAACCTTTGCCAACACTTATGATGTCCATCACTTATAACGGACAATGCTTTCCTTTCCTCTCATTAAACGGGCCAATGACAAAAGGACTGCTTTTATTTGAAAGAATTTCCCCTCTACTCCACTCTGTTTGAAATCATCACACCAGGGGATATATTTACATTAAAATCATAAATTAAATCAATATTCTTCATATTTTGTTTAACACTATTACAGTAGTTCCCATTTAAAATTTCCTCACTTTTCTTGATGGGCTCTTGGCTCGTCCTTGGCAGTTCCCCCACTATTCCTTTTTAAATGTCAATCTTTGTACTAAAATATTCTTTTTGTGATGATTGGTTGATATTAAGATCTAAAGAGAAGCATAATCTCCTTGTTAGACCCTGTAATTAAGTGAAAGGGTGGAGTCGCCCAGAAGAAGGAGGGGGCCACTCCAGTGGCTGGAAGTTGGAGGGGATTTCACTGGGGGTTGGAGGGAAGTGGGCTGCCATCCGGCTGGCGTTTGACAAGGAAATGGTAAATGGTAAATGGCATGTACTTATATAGCGCCTTTATTCAAGTTAGGAGACTTGACCAAAGCGCTTTACACTACATTCATTCACCCATTCACACTCACACCTCACACAAAAGGAAGGGCCATTTTGAATGGCTGCTACTGTTACACACATCTAAGGTAGAATTATGTGGCAAACAAATTAAGTGTTGTTTTTACAAATATTAATCAATGGGTTCCATTCCTGTTCAAAGCTCACCCGTAGAGAAATACTTATAGTCAACTTCAAGATTTCTCTCTCTTGTGCTCATTTCCTCTGTTTTGAGGAATATACTTGGGTATTCCTGTACCAAACCTTACCTTAATTAATGCAACCCCATAATTTCAAAACTTTTATTTTATGGTTACTTAAAGTATTTAATAAAAAAAAAAGATAATTAGCAGGTAAATGATCAATAATCACAAAATGTTGCAAATTCAGTCAGAACTAATATTATCCCTTCAGTAACTCTTGTTGTTCTAGTTTGCCAGAAATCTTAATCCCCTCATCTTCTGAGGCGCTTTAATTTCAACTTGTCTTTCCCTTTGTCTTTTGCAGGATCAGTTTGAATTTGCGTTGACAACTGTTGCTGAAGAGGTGAACGTGATTCTGAAGGCCCTCCCTCAGTAGGAAGAAGAGGATCCTCTTCCATTCCACCTGGAGGATTGTTCCTATTGTTGTTTCCTTTTCCTTTCATTTATTTCCTGCGTCCATTTATTCCCAGTCTCTTTTTTTCACTCTTTTTTTCCCCTTTCTCCATCCTTTTCAATTGATCCACAGTTTGATCTGTTTCTCTTTTTCAAATCCTTCTCTTTTCCCCTCACTCTTTACTGACCTTTTTTCTTCTTTTTACCTTTACCCATCTATCTTGGTCCAAACCACCCTTGTTTATTTTCATTTTTCTATTTTCCACCCTTAAAATATATTATCTGTTCCAATTAGTTGACATTGTGACAGGAAACTGCTGTTCCACTCTTGTACATAGCTGGATCCTCCCTCTGTTATCCTACAGTTTATTTTTTACCAAAATCTTTGTTAGAATATCTATACTAGGTTTGTGTTTGATCAGTGACCTCATGGACATCAATTGAGTATAGCAAGGTTTGGTAACATTTAGCTAAAATCAAGATGTTTTGCTTTGAGTCTCTATTGATTAAAAGCTTATTTGTATAATGCATTATATAGTCCTGTACAAAAAGAGGTGATACCAGTGGGAAGGTGGATGTTAATTAGAATGTCTCTTGATGATCCGACATTTTTATTTGAACCTGAACATTAAACTGAATTGATGCTCCTGATTGCTCTTTGGGTGTGTGGAAAGGTAATTGTCATGTTTTGTTGGGTTTTCAGTGCCATGCTGTGTTATATTTTCTTGCAGTATCCTATTGTGTCACTCAGTGGGGTACTTTGGGTACAAAAAGCAACTAGTTTAACCCCCAACTGAAGTTAGTTTTGTTTCACTCGAAATATATTTTAGCAAAGTAAACACGACTAATGTTAGAAATGTAATAATGATTTTATTGTTGTACTTTTAGTGTATGCAATATTGTGTTTCTTCAGCCTGAATTGATCTCTTGTGGGAAACTAATATTGTGGCTCGTGAAGTTACACCCATGTCTGCCTTAATAAAAATATTGTAGAACTGCTGTAAAAAGCCACTTATGTTGCTGAAACTACCTTTATATTGACCTTATTCCAGCTGATTAAGGGTTAATTGTGCTTCACGTCATTGAAAATAAATAAATACTCAGTAAATGAAGCTGAAACATACATTATTGTGACTGATATAAATATCAAGGTGAAGCATAAAACTGGATTATGGGCTATATAATGGGTTTCAAACAACCACATTTGGAATAAAATTCTTTAGTTTCGCTTCTCAGATTCTATATGTAGCATAAATGGATGATTTGTACACAGTAGCAAAAATCTTTTCCCCCTCGAAATGCATTCTAAAATTGTTTGCTGATGCTGTAAATTAAAAGCACAAGAAACTGTTCTGGGCGTTGTGTGTCATTTTTCATGCTCTCTTAGAAAAATAATAATAATAATTTCACTGTCACACAGATTATTCTCCTAAAGCCATCACTTTGCTCCAGCAGGACTTTCTTTCTTCCCATCAAAAAAGAAAACAAAATAAAAAGACTCCATCTCTAGTTTATAATTTTGTTAATATTAGCTTTTTTAGCAAACAAATTCTGATCACATTGGAAAAACAATCTAGAAATAAGTAAAAAATGTCTTAAATGAATTTACCCTCAATTTGAGTAGGTAAATGATATAGTGGAATGAGTATTTTTACAATTTAAATAAGATTATTAGATAATATGCACTAGAAATACGACAATGAAAATAAGTGTAAATTGTCTTATTCCATTGGAAAAATGTCTCCTTTACCTCCTCAATCCAAGAACAGAAGCACTTATTTTAAGTAAAAAATTACTTATCTAGATTTTGATTTTTTTCCAGTGTAATATTTATGCTCTCAGAAAATTGTGCTATTTCGGCTATTTCTACAGTAGCATCTGTTTATTGTTTATTTTGATGGAATAGAAGAAAAAGTGAAATATTAACGGTATAAATCTTTCTTCACCAAAACCTTTGCTATTTAGCAATATTTCACATCAACTGTATTCCCAATGCATTTTCCCATCTCGGGTGACATTGTTGGGTTTTCATCAGAAATTAATTATTGGGTGAAAATGATGAGAAAAATGTTAGTTTGTTAGAATTTTTTCTTTAACCGTAAAGACTGTCAACCACAGCCAACAAACAATTTGTGTTAATAATATTGCCAAAGTTCTACATGAATCAATAAAACAACATTGAAGTATTTTAAAACTACTTTTAGATCCATTTTTTAAAATAAATGCAAAAAAATTTTATATTTGCGTCTTATAAATAACGCTGAATTTTTTTTTTTAATGAAGGCAAAAAAAACAGTTTAATTGAAGTAGGTATAAATATTGCACTTATGTTTCCCATATGGACATTGCACAAATGAATATCAGCTTTACACAAGAGTTAAAATGTCATCAGTGATGTTTGACTGTTTTTGAAAGTTCACTATATTTTTTATCTTTATAAGTCATCCTAAACCAAGACCTTTGAAACAACCAGCCTATGTAGCTTATTTCAAGCTCTATGTCACATTGGCAGGTCTTGAACATTATTTTGGAAACTGATTTAAAAAAAAAAAGCTTTAAATTAGATTCCGCTGCATTTTCAAATGCAATTATGTCATGGTTGTTGAGCTTGTTCTGCAGATTAATCGCAGATCTTTCTGAGCCTTATCAAACAAACTCAACATGCCTCCGTTGTAAGGAATCAATAAAAACTGTTACCTTCTGTAAGCCAAGTTGATCATGGCTAAACAAAATAAAAGCTGCTGCTCTTCCAACATGATGCAACGCTGCAACAATGTTGAATCATACAGTAAGTGGATTAACCTAGTTTAGTTAAATTAAACCGACGTGCGATGAATGGTTAAATACATTGAATTAGAGTGTTTTTATTACAGAATGACATCTGGACATTTCAGAATATTAACAAATTAAACTTTGTGGAGATGATTATTGAACTCTTTTAAAGCTAAACGGCTATCTATTGGATGGTTCCTCTCCATTTAAGATGACCAGGCATCCTAATGTAACAGCTTTGGCTTTTTTGCTTTTTCTCTCTCCAAATAGTCAAGTATAGAGAGACGGCTTATATATTGCTTTAAAACTGATGAAATATTTAGTTCGGGTAAACGGCGTGTGAATAAATTCTGTTGTGATGCTGATTTTTTAATTTGCCACCATTGTGTTTGGAATGCAATTATCCACAGTCATTTTCACCATCTGGGTGGGCGTTAGAAGCATCTGTTTTATGGAATACAGAACTAACAGCTGTGTTTTAAATCACATAAAGTGTCATTAGCTTTAGGTGTGGGCCAAAGTGGCATCCTACAGTAGACAACATTTCAGCTTATGCTTCACCAGTTTTTATTCCAAGCACCACAGGGGGACAGTTTTACCATTTGACAGAAAAACATAACAGATTGGCATGAAAACTCTGATTAAAGTAGGTAGGGGAATTGCTGCAATTCCTATTTATGTAAACGGTTCTTTTAAAAATGGCTATCGACTAGGATTGATGCTACAAACAGTACACCTCTATTACAAATTAGCAGATTTTCCTGAAGCTAAACAAATAACCTTTTGATATTCTCAACTCTTTATGGAAATTAATGTCTAGTGTTTCTAGGTTACAACAAAAAAAAAGTTAGGTGTTAGTTGGAAAGCTCCTAAAGTTAGATTACTTAATAAGCACAGAATAAAGGGTCCTAATTTATAAATGAACCCTCCATATGCTCCCCAGACAAGGTACTCATCAGGATGCCTTTTGCCATTCTGTTAGTAATAAGGGAACATTACAAAAATTGGGTGAGATAAAAGCAAGACTACTTATAAAGTAGCATCAACATTATTCCAGAGAAGTTAATTAATGCTACACAATTCTACTTCTAATCAATATGCATTGATTTTCCCAAGGGCTTATTTTTAGGAAGTACAACTATATCTGTCTTAAACAACTGATCTTGTCTTCCAGGTGATTCCAGTTCTCACACAACAATCCCAAGGAATTGCTGCAAATAAGATATTGCATTAATGCTGATGAATATTCTCAGTCATCCAGGTCATAGTAATTCCGTAAACGTTCAAAAAATATCCACTGGACTTGTTTTCCAAGATTTGAAGAGGTTTCGCATCCCCTCCCAAGAAACCTTCTCAATTCAAATGTCTGGATCCGCAGTGAGTTTGAGGCTTTATATAGACAAGCCTTGCATTGCTTGGAAACATGCAAATTGAAACTGACGAGCGGGTCGTTTGGTTCCATTATTAGCCTGTAATACCTGAAACCTGTCTATGATTCTGATGGTAGGTCGTTAAAGGGGGGATTGTTGTTAAAGGGGGTGATTGAAATGACAGACAATTGAATTGAGAAAGCTCCCTGGAGGGGAAGCGAAACGTCTTTAAACCTTGGAAACAAAGTCCAGTGGATTGTTTTTAAACTTTTGCGGAATATTGCATTAATGTTTTATTTTCTATCCATTTTCTGCACTGTTGCATGCAACGACCAGATAGAACATAAAATCAGCAGTCTTAAAATGACAAAATCCTCTTTTGAAAATAAATGTTTAAGTTATCCAACATTTTTAATCACAAAGCTGAAAATGTGGCATTTTTTTTTCACAAATCCCTTGTTGGACAATTATTGATTAACAATCCCCAAACATCAAAATGTCCTGTTCTCTGTCCTCCCCTACAGTTTCATATTCAAGAGCCTTTATATAATCAAGATGTCACTGCTCTGCTTCTTCAGAGCCTTCTATTGCAAGATAAGATGATGTTTCTGTACATCTTAATGAATTGCATAACATCATCAGCAGTCATCAAGGGCCCCAGAGGTTCTGTTTATTGCCTATGGATCTGTTAGATGTGTGGAGACAGGGAAAAGCTAAAACATGAAGAAGAGTCAGTCCTTAGGTCCAGGGTTGAAGACCGCTGGTATCTACCCTCCCATTTATCTGCACTTTTAATTTTTAACTTCCTTTTTCACTTCCTTTGGCTTTGGCTGGTTAACACAAAATACTTCAACTCATCCACATTCAGTACTTTTTTACATTTCTTTTTTACATTTACACAAACATAATATTTCTTCTAACTTCAAATATTTATCCCACCGCCTCTCCAGGTTCTTTTCCAACTACTCATAGCTCTGTTTGCAATTTATATTACCATTTGCCAACAATATTGCCCATAGAGAATTCTGTCTGAACTCATTACCATTGGAAGCAACTTAGTACTTCAAGTTTATGTTTTATGCAATCCATATATAAGGCCTTTTGCCCCGCCCACCACACATCTGACCTCACTACATAACCTTCTTCTCTGCGCCACTCCACTTACTCAGAAACACAGTTCCTTTCTGAACCCAGGTATTGTTCTGTCACTAACTAGCAATGCAATATCTTGACCTTCCCAGTCACCTCACTTAAAACACACATGCAAACCAAATTACTGCTTACTAACAGCAACCTCTCTTAAACTGCTTCAGAAAGTACAAAATGTTTACACTGTTTCTTAAGTTCATGCAGACATTTCATTTTATTGTGTTTTGCAACCTCTATGAGTCTGAAAAGAAAGACGACAAAGAAATCAATATTTAACACCTTCAAATATTTGGGATTATCTTACTTTACAATGAATATAAACATTTCGCTTGTTTATCTGTTTGAGGAAACATGTTAACAAACCATAAAAACAGATTGGTAAGGCTAGGGCTAGACTGGCTACCAGGCATACAGGGCATATGCTTGGTGGGCCAACGCTAATTTTGGAGGCAGCCGAAGGATGTTATAATAGAAAAACTTCTTTATCCGTCCTAGGTTTACCTGCCGGCAATATGCACCAGCCCCACTGTGACCCTGATGGAATAAGCAGGAGAAGATGGATGAATGGATGCATAGAGGGCATTAATATTTTAACATATTGATCTATATAAAAAGAACAATTTACCAAATGATAATCTTAAAAATAAATTATACCCATTGGAAGAGTGATACATAAAACAAGACCCAGTTTGCCTTTTAAAAATGGCTAAACCTCCCCGGCCTGCCCTGCCCATCACCTCAGACTGAGGTAATCAAACTAAGTCATTTGAGTAGACCAGATTTGGAAAGGCCACCATGTTCTGCCCTGTGATAACTGATAATAAAAATGCCACAAACTGTAGTTAAAAGCCTCCAGCTGATCCCAAATGCTTCAGCCAGAGTTGTGATGAAAATTAAAAAGAGAGATCATATATCGTATCCTAGCTTCCCTTCATTCCTTTAAAACCAGAAATAGAATTTAAAATCCTCCTTCTCAAATATACATTTCTTAACTAAGTGTGTTTTCCCTTCATCTGAGCAGGTAAATACGGTGATTTTCCAGTGGAATTATTATTTCTGCCC